TGTAATAACAATGGAATAATAAAATAATTTACTCAAATGTACATAATAATACATATACATATTCATAAAAACAATATTAAACGCAAGAACTTTTTTGTACGCGAAGAAAAACTAATATAGGTCCGTCGGGATTCGAACCCAAGACTCCTTTCTAATACGTCTACTTTATAGCGAGCGGACGGAAGAGAATCCGTTCACGACCATGGTCCCTTCTTAGATTTAACGTAGTTCACAAATTCACCGTTCTCATAACGTAGAAGGCAGCAGAAAATCCCTGACTTTTTACACTATCGGTATTTCAGAACATGAGACACGAGTCGGTGATAATACTGAGAATTCATGCTTTATCGGTAATGTCGGGTATTGACACTGAAATGATAAAAGGGTTACAATAAGAGTCCCATTAGAAAGAGAGGAAAGTTACTCCAGTTGTGGTTCTCTCTCTCTCTAATGCCGACTTCATCCTTACCATAAGACCGCGTAGTCTATTATATATGTTATGTTATAGGGTCTCTAGCGTCTCTAATAGTGACAATTCAACGGTGCTAGTTGGTGCTAGTTCTCTTCGGCCCCAGAAAAGTGGGCCGAAATAACAGATTGGATGAAAGGTCTATTTTTATACCTCGTCGATGCTAAGATTATGCAATCAAAGGTAACATCATGTATTCATTAGCAAGAAACGATTAAATTCAGTTGAATGTTAAATTCGTATTCATAAATGTGTATGTATTTCAATTGGTTTGACTTTCACCAATCATTGATCGATACAGTTTTTTTTTTGAGTATTCCTATTACCTTCGTACACAGAACAATCTACCCAAATCAGAGTCCATGGAAGTATGCATCATGCGTAATATGTATTCCCCTTCCAAGGTCTATTTTCCCGCGGATTTTGGTACGATCCTGACCGGCAGTGATGAGATTTCAGTATTCTATTTTTATGAAAGTGGTTATTTAAATACAGGCAATTTACGCGTATATATAACACAGTAATTTTGAGTTTTATATATATAAAATATACGATAAACGATAGTTTCGATGTCATTCGCGTTTACCGAATAAATTATTGCCTAGGTTATAATAATGTGCGATTGACAGATTTGTCTTTTATCTTGTCACTCATAGTGATGCTCTAAAACGCGATATATACTTTAAATTATTTGGGTAAGGTATACATAAACTGCTGTTGTTAAAATTTATTATCTCACTGTTTAAAGAAATGAAGTTGAAGTTTGTCTTCTTTTTATTACTGACAGGGGCATTTGAGATGAAAATGATGGATATCGATGAGCAAGATGACTGCATTGTTCCTGCAGTTACACCTGCTAAGAAAAAGATGAAACAAGGTACTTATCCTAAATATTTGATGAAGAATTTGATTAAAGTTATTGTTATTAAAATATGACTATGATTCTTCTGTTAATTTATTCACATATAATTGAATATATTGTTCCAGCACAATTACCGTTCCAAACACAAAGTCCGATTGGATCATCCAATGTTATACATAGCAAAAAAAGAAAATTAACATCTCCTTCTATGGATTTGAAGAGTCCAAAGGCATTTAAAATTTTGAGGAAAAACTTGAGCAAGGATATTGGGAGCAATAAAAAGTTAAATAGTTCTGCTAAGGATGCTACAGAGGAAAATAGTAAGGGTATAGAAATTATAGACAATACAGAAACTGAGAATCTAAAAGAAAATACAACTTCTAATAAAAATGAAAGTGGAAATAAAAATAGAACTCCAAAACGAATATCGACTGGGCAGAAGATGTTGGAGAAGGATAAAGTTAAATCAAATCCTTTGTCAAAGTTCCTTAAAAAAACGGAGATAGATGGAGAAGTTTCAAAGGATGAACGGAATACTTTGCAAAACGAGGAAAATGAATCTGTTAATAAAAGTTCCAATACAAATGCTGATAAGACTGCATTGCAATCAAATCATTCAAGTCAAAAAGCAGAAGTAGATAATTCTATGAACTATAATTCTGATTGTGATATTGAAATCCTGTCTTCAGACGCTGAGGATAAAGAGGAATTGGCAAAGTCAAATGAAAGTGGAGAAATAAGTGGAGAAACTGATAGTCCAAAGTCTCTCAAAACTCCCAATACAGACAAGGGAAAGCAGAGAAGATTAACGCCTAAACAACAAGAAAAGAAGTTATCAAGTGCTAAGAAAGAAGAAGAAAGAGAAAGATTAAAAATGGTCAATAATTTGTAAAACCATTTCATTTCAATTTTTTTTTGTATATACAACCAACTGATATTTTCTATTTGTTTGCTAGGAGAAGGAACGAAAACTGGAAGAACGACAAAACCGGCAGAGGGAAAAGGAAGAGAAACGGAGGGAGAAAGAAGAGAAGGAAAAAGCAGAGAAGGAGCAGAAAATGTTGGAAAAGAAATTGAAGGACCAGAAGAGACAACAGGAGCTCGAGTATGAATACTTGCTAATCTTTTTAAAAACATCTTACTGTGAGATTTTTAATTTACTATCTAAATTCTTTCGTAGACAGAAGCTGAAAGACAAGCAAGCAAAAGAGGAAGAGACTAGAGGCTAAACGTAAGAAACAAAAGGCAGCTTCAAACTTCACTAGTTTCTTTGTCACTAAGAAACAAGAGAAAACCGTCGAGGAAGAAAGTATTAATAAGGTTCAGAACTTTATGCCCTTTGAGGTCAAGACAGACATGAAAGTTGCACCAGTTTGTAGGAGAACGTTAACAGAAGAGGAGAAAAAGGCACTGGATGCAATGTACAATAAAGAGAGTGCAGAAACAACCGACTTGTATCTTAGCGAAATTAAGAATAAAAAAATTGTTCCATGGAAATCTTCAAAGACATGGCCGTTCGAAACTAAAGACGATGTCATTCTGTTAGGTAAACATTGTGTTTTCATGAGAATAGCTATGTATTGATTGTATGTTTCGGATTTCATTTTACTTGCCTGCAGACGATGAAAAGGATGACAGCTCGAACATCGTGAATCAGAACATTGTCATAGAGAAGCAACGGACTAAGTTACTTCAGTTCTCCGAGAACCGACGTCCGCCATATTGGGGTACGTGGAGGAAGCGGAGCGACAGTATAAATCCTCGAAAACCACTATCAAAGGACACGGTGAGTTAGCAACTAAAATAGTTCAGGCATTTACAAGCAAAATCGAGTTTTATGTTCTAAAAAAATATACTAATATGAATACAAAGATTCATTCAAACTACACGGCGAAAGGAATGAAGAATGCAACATATTTTCAACAATATTTATTGTCATTTCTCAAGGCACGTCATTTAATCTAGTCCAGTAACATGAACTACTCTTAAAGGTAGACTACAAACAAAAAATAGTCTAGCTAAATCTTTTTTCTCGACTTCGTTTCATCGTATCAAATTGATCGTAAAAAGAATCTTATTCGTTCTCGAGGAATGTCCACGGGAGAGGCCCATCGTTGTCCTCGTTCATGCGTCGAGAGTCTGTTGATAATTCTCGGTTAAGTACATTGCGTATAAAAACCACACACACACACAGAAAGAGAGAGGGAGGGGGGAGAGAGAGAGAGAGAGAGAAAATTCTTTCAATGTTATTTCGTTCATCGTCGGTGCGTTACGCAAAGGGGAATTCGCTAGATCTCCGTTGGTACAATGTTCATTTTCCCGCCACGTAACCCTCTACCACCGTGGAACAATGGGTACGCGTTCTTTCTGTGCACCTTGCGATGCTTGGCCAAATGATCGCTCCGGGCGAATCGTTTCGAGCACATCTCGCATGGGTACGGCTTGACACCGGAATGGGATCTCCTGTGCCTGGCTAGCTCGTCCGACCGACTGAAGCGCCATCCACATCCGGTCCACGTGCAGGCGAATGGTTTCTCCCCCGTGTGACGGCGTAAATGGGCCTTCAAGTGGGATGCTTTTGCGTAAACCTGGATGAATCAGGAACAAGGACATCTTATGTAGAGTATGATTATCCACCTCGTTACTTCAAGTTAAATATTTCCTTTCTATTGGTAGGGTCATTATCAAGCAGATGTTGTTTAAGTTATCGGAGGACCTTAATCGATATAAAGGTAATATTTAAAGGAAGCAACAATGAAAGTGAAGAGTTTGTTAGAGTAGGTAAATTTTAGCACTCGCTGTTAGAATTGATCTAACATACCTTGACGCATCCTTGGTAAGTGCAAGGAAAGCATCGGTCCTCGGCCGCGTTTGCCAAACTACGATTAGTGTAGTCGTGTGTTGCTAGTGCCGCTGTAGCTGCTGACGAGATGAGATTCTCTCCTAGTTGATTATTGTTGTAATCTGCAATTGTGGAAGCAAAATCGCTAGATAATATATGGCGATTCGTTGACTGGAAAAACTAAGTTTCTCTGTTGGAGTTTTGAATTTCACGGTATCGAATCAATACAATTATTTATACTGATTTGTTGGCGGAACTAATAAGCAACGGTAGATCAAAGTGTCAATATTTTCGAATTCATTGAACTGTTCGGTCAGACTTTGTTGTCGATTTGGGGATACGATTTTAGGCGAATACCCGTAGCGCTCGACAATCACCTATTCCGTTCGTTTCAAATGTATCCTCGAGGGCTCGCAAATCGATTCCGAGCACCCATAACGGTTCCTCGTGTTGATACGTTTGTTGGGGATTTGGCAGGGGTAAGTGTAGAAAACCCTCGCAGCCCGCGGTGCACATCGGTGTCCTTTCTGGGAGGCCGGAGTTCCAACTTTTATCTAGGCACCATTCCAATTCCGAGTCTAGCTCACTCAGCTCGCTAAAACACCCTGCGCATACATCACAGAACAGTTCTTTATCCATGCGTCAAACCTTTAAATAACATTTCTCGAATTCAGTTTCAATAACTTTTAACGACAGACATATCTTTGTCCACGCATTGGCGTTTACAACTGTACAATGTTAAGAGAACTTCTGGTCCTAACTCGACAATCAACCGTTTGTGTACAAAATACACTTGTCAAGATTTAAGGAATTAAATAAACAATAACGATTTAAGTTCTGGTATTTTCCAATTTCACGAAGATGAAGATTTTAGCCATGTGGATGTTCTTTTCTGACGTTACTTCGTCAGATCGAACGTATTAAGCAAGAGGGAACGCACCTGAGGGAGTGGATGTATTGTTGGACCACTCGGTCAGCGGTAGCTTCGTCGGGCATGTCAGGTCCGTGTAACATTCGATAGGATTGGCGATGTTGTTGATACAGCTGTCGATCGTCTCCGAGTCGTCACTACGCGGTGTCGTTCCGCAAGACGACGCAGAGGACGACGACGACACGTCGAACTCGCAGGTGGCTAGGCCGTTGATCGCGCTTGTGGAGAACAGTTGCCTCTCGACGCCTGCGTCCGTGGTTAGACCCAACGCAGAGAACAACAATTCGTCCGTCATCTGCGAGGGAAAACGGTGTAAAACAAAAACAAAAAAAAAAAAATGAAATCGAACGAAGAGCCTCGCCGTAAGCGGAAAGAAAACGTGCCGACGACGAAACGGCGGACAGAGAGACTGTTTATTGTTGCGAGAGAGGTTGGGATTAATCGCGGCCGGGCAACCGGGCGATTACTGACAATAAGTCACGGCACCGTGAACGGTCTATATCTCTCGATTAAAATTCAATTCTATTTTGAGTTATCGTCGGCGGCCCGAAAGAAAGAGGGAAAAAATGGCAATGCAACGGCGTCCGAAGACGGGATTTCTCTTTCCTCTTGGTTCCTCTTCCCTGTGGCGAAATGTTTACGCGCGCGTGGATCATCGTTCGATTGATTCGTAGCCGCGAATTATTGGTCACCTCGGTATTTCTGATTTCTGATTCTCTGAGCTCAGGGGTTGACACCCTCCGAAGATTAGCAATAGTATGTTCCCTAAGTGTGTAGCGGAGATCAAAATTGACCAAACACCAAATGCGCCCGATTACGAATTGTTAAATGACACTTGTGAGATTGTTTTATGAAAAGATTGAAACTATTCGATGAACGCTTTGTCGGTGTGTCGCAGGCAGCTTCATCGGAGTCGGATGAGACACTGATAATTTGGTATCAGCGGCGAAACGCCGGTATTTCAGATACTATTGGACACACGCAGCTTCCACCCGGAAACCTCCGATCGTATTAATTTTTTATTGCGTCTCTAAGCCTCTACTTTTCAATTATAACTGTTACCGTTAAAAAAAAAAGTTCAATCTGTCGATTCTCGTGATAAAGACTTCATCTTCTTGGTACATTTTTTTGTTTAAATAATCGACAGTGAAAACTTCATACTTACGTCGAACATTGCAGCGTCTTCGATCATATTGCCGCGCGATTCGATATTTTGAAATTAAGTTCGTTTTCTTTTGCTCGTTTATATTAATTCCTCACATGCAATTGTTTCACTATTAGTCACTGTCTTGATTTCCTCTGCGCATTATCACTTCCGATTGCCAGCGTTTCAAGGCTCTCGATGTTACGCGACCAGTAAATCAGTTCGTCCTTTTTTCAATGTACATCGGCATCGGCGCTGGGAAATCCTTCCACGATCATACTAAACCATCGCCATCGACTACCAAATTATTCAAATCTAGCGCACAAACCTAGAGTGAGTGGCGGTTCAAACGTAGAATCTTCTTGAAAACAGACATCGACCAAAGTGATCCTTCCGCGGTAGTTACTTTCTCCTGGCTGAATAAACGTTCATAACTTTATTTGCACTATAGATTTTGGTAGGAACTAGCATTCCATCGATTTCTTCCAATTACCCTTAATCTTTCCTCTATCTATAGATCAACTATTCAATTCAATCTTCGATTTCCACGACACTGTTGAGTCAGTTTATCTAGATGACAACACAAAGTCAGGTTTTACTACTACATCATCCAATCCTCATCTTGCTCTAGCTATCGATCGTTATGGTGTCCTAGCAAATGGTTTTTTCTATCTATCAGGAGCAAAACTTCCACCTTTGTCACTCACTCTGTATAAACAATAATCAGTGTGACGGTGTTTATCTTTTTAACTCTTTCGGTGAGTAACGTCCAGTTCGAAGGGTCGAAGATGTTTCTTGGGGTCGTCCGAAAAGAATCGAACGAAGTCACCCCTCTTCTAGCCGGGTAGTTTCGCGGTCGAGCGACTCGTGGAGACTGGTGGGGCCTCCGGGTCCAGAACACGCGGATGAGTCGCGTCGTGTGTGCATGTGACAAGGCACCACACGGTTCGGGAGATAATCGAGACTGTGCCACCCGGTGCCGTCACCGTTGATTCCTCCCCAGGGATCGTGGCGGCCCGATCCCAGAACACCGCTTTTCAGACGCGCCAGCGAATCGGTTTCCTGGCTAATTGGACTGGGTATGTGACTCGCGTTTATTTACGACACCAGGCTCTTCTACCTACCCCCCACCCCCCGATAATCGGGGGCTCTCGCGAGATTTCTGGCCCACAGAGACGCACAAGGCCCCATTCGCGACAGAATTCGCCACTCGGTCCGTGATCACCGAATCCTCCTCCGTGCCTAACCGCTATTGCTGGCGCCCGCACGTGGCCTCTCGATGCTTATCGGATTCACGGCCATCACCACCACGTTGTTTCGTGTGTGTGTGTTTTTTCCGTTCCATTACGGAGGTTTGCAAGAAATTCGAGCCAACGGAATCACACCCCGTCTTTGATGCTTTCTTCGTTCCATTTGCCTCTAGAGCACTGTCTCTTTACGAATCGATGATAAAAACTCTGGTCGCGTGTTCCTTCTTCTTTTTTTTTTTGTCGCGTGGGCTTTTGTTCGGGAACCGTTATGTAGGGTGCTTTGAGAAATGTTGACGCTTGTATTTTCTTTGCAAACGTGATTGCAACGGATACCGACCAGAGATGTGCCTCAGGGCTCTGGGGTAGGTGAGAATTTTAAGGAGGTAGATGGTGAACAAGTGGAGAGACTTTAAAGATATGATATTTTCTTGTATGGGTTTGATTTCTCTGAAAATGTTACTTCCAATGCTCACGTGTTACACATTTTTCGAAGTACCCTGTAGATTCTTGATAATACGGTCTTTTTTAATACCTCAGTTTTACCGTGATTCTTTTCCTTCATGCGTTTATCGATTAATATCGACAGGGAATACTTAGTTTTCAAGTTTCTGGAGTAAAAAAACGCAGTAAATAAATAACAATAAAACAATTTAGGCCTTAAAGGGTTAAGCTTGGCTTCCCCTGACGGACACGGTTAAACCACCTTGCGAAATTATTATCCTGCAGTAACGTAGCATAGAGTGGAAATGTTTCGAGCAAAGTTTACATTTCCGAAGGATCTATCAATGAAACGTCTGTAACAATGCAATGGCTTTGACCTACAGCGACAAGAAGAAGCAGATAAAGTGTCTCGAAGTCAGTGCCACTCTGCGAGCCCGAGCCGCTCTCTCGTAGTACGTTTACCCGTGTCGAGGAAAGTTGACCTTAGATACACAATGTAGTATTATATTTTGCGTTCGATTCAAGTGTCAAGAACACACACGCGAGAAGTGCTCCCCCGACCCTCTCCGTGATCGTACGCTCTTCGAAGCTAGATCTTTGTTCACCCTACCCTTCATCCATGCTTTCTAAACTATTTTTAAACGGTCGAACCAAATGAGAATTCGCTAAATCGATCAAGTGAAACGATAGAATCTCGTGTCTACGTATACGATATCGATCTACCACTGGTAAATCGACGCTGAGGGTGGAATGCAAGAAAGACTATCACGAGGGAGAAATGAAGTTTCATCGATACTCCCGGCTATAATCGGCTCGAAACCGTCGAATGACGTTAACGGATATCGTTCCTCCGACGCGTTATGAAAAACAGACCACCGCCATCGATCTATCGTTTCCCTTTTTATCTAACGGATTCATCGCGAGAATTGGTGCTCGCGTTCAGCCCGGCGCCGTGTCACGTCGGAAACGGAGACGAGGAAATCCCAGCTCGGTCTCACGAGAGTGTTATCCCCCGTCGTGATTATTTGGAAACTTTCGCTTGTGCATTCTACGATCGATCATCGAATTGCTCGCGAAACACGCCACAGTTCTCACCGATAAAATCATTGTCTATCGCGCCACCGCGTATTTTTATACAAATAACATGTATATTACGGATTTTACACATTTATAGTGTATTCAGTCGCCTGAAATTCAGGATATTAGAAAGTTCTATAGATTTTAGCACGGTTTTCATTTTATGAGGGGGCAAAGAAAAAAAACATATTAATGTTCATCTTGCCAAACAAGCGAAATAAGCATACGGCGAGAAAGTTGCGATTCTCGGTGAAGATACATAATTGTATGAACGTTGTTACTTTTGGTTGTTACCGATTCGGCAAAAGTACTGAATCAGTCAAAAAACTGCATCGTTTGAACTGACTGTTAAGCGTTCTCCGGCAAAAATTAACGTATATATCGACGACATTTATCCCAGTGACGCGAGGCTTTGAGACAGCCTCTCGCTGGTTAAACCGTCCCCTTCCCCCTCATCACACTCACGCTTAATCGAAATGTCGAAGATTCATTTTACTTCGCTCCGCGAAAGATTATTTTCTATCTACCCTCCGGGGAGATTTATTAATTGCGGTCTCGATTGCGTCACTTCTCCGTGGTCGATAAAAGAGCTCCGAACGGAGTCAATTTGCTCTGGCAGGCGATCGGTATTATGCACCGATACCGTGCTAGAGCATCAATCGACGAGCGTTTTTCTTTATACGAATCGTGCGGTCCCTCGTAGCGATGGCGATACATTTGAATTTTATCGATATTTGGTATCGATACGTATTGATACCCAGACTATCGATGCACGTGTATATCGGGAATAAAATAACGATATTATCCTGTTTTTGGTTGGCGGTTCGAGGGTTAAAGGTTAATGTGCTTTTCCTATTTTCCTGTACATCTCGAGAACTACAGTGGATATTGAAAAATTGTTACAAGGAAAATTTAATGGCTCTTTATGCTCTATACAACTGTACAATAAAATTTATCAACAATTTCATTTTTAAATAAAAAATAAACAAATCAGTATTTAACAATTTTATTACACATTTTTATAGAGCATTAGAAGCCATTAAAGTTTCATTCCAAAAGTTTTTTCGATATCTACTACAGTTTTTAAGATGTATATGAAAATAGTAAAAACCCATTAACCTTTAAGGGGTGGTTTCCACCCCGAAGAACCGAATATCAGCAAAAACGAAAACTTGCCCGATGCTTCTATCGAAGTTCCTTACAAAATTGTAGAATTCAAAGAAAAATCGGAACAGGTTACCCAAGTTTCCTTGTCAGTACAGATCACTGGTCACCAGCCGATAGCGGTTAAATTACGTTTCAATAGCGTGTAATTAATAGGCGGCGACAACAAACGCGTTGTTACGGGTTTTGAAATGTTTCGAATCGGAGGCAACATGGTGGCATAGATCCACAGCCGTAAGACACGTAACGTGGCAACCGAATAATCGGGGATAAATCAATCGCCGGGCATGGACGATTCAATCGCGCCGGTGTGCGCGAGGAGGAGCACCGAGCGTAATCTTAATGGGGGCATAAAACAGCCATTACAGATGGCCCGGCGGGTGACAACACGTAGTAAATAATGCACGACACTTCGTCCCAGGCGCCGTTCGAACGTTAACGCGTTGGCTGCGTTTAGATCCCGATAACCGAGTCTCCTCCCCCCACCACGCGGACCGCGGCAAAATCGTTAGATCGTACCCGGTGTGTGTGATTAATGGGAGATTTACGTTTGTACGATCGCGGCGGTCTGGTCCAGGTCTCTGTTAAGTGCTTGTTAATCGCTTTCGCTTTGATTTATCTCTCCACCCCCCTTCTTGAATTTTTTTCGTTTGAGGGCTCTGTCTGATACCTGAAGGCGTGAATAGTGCAAGCGAAATTGCATTCTTCTGCTTACTCTACCTGTGTGTATTAGGTTAGCTGGTAGCCTATTAACAGGCTTTCTATTTCAGTGCTTATAGATGTGGAGCTTATTAATTTACCCTTAGATATCAGCGTTAACACTTTGACTGTAAAATTTTTCGACATCAGGCCGCGAACAGTATTTCAAATACCTAATTCGATCATTCGTGTCCAGCAAATATGACCGTCATGCATGTACAGGTGACGCAGCCTATTGGGAACTTTACGTGTCAGCCGAATTCAGGTGACACGGCAGTCAAGGTATTAAAGAAGAAATTGATGCTATTTTCATGAATGTAATTTCCTACTGTGATTGAACTGTTTAAAAGAGGACAGCCAGTAGATAATGTGTTAACAATGTCTATTAGATATCTTACGCTCGCGAAGAATCTGTTGGGGTGCGTCCGTTCAGTTTTTTTTCTTATTCGGAGTGGGGTATCCAGTGATCTCGTGAAAGTGCAAAGAGGAGAAGCGCAGAGGTAGCCCGGGCGTAATTTTGTCGAGATAAGTTTTTATCACCCACTTAGAAGCTACTCGAGCGAGATCGTTGTAACGCGAAGTAGCGAAGCAATACCGCGAGGAAACGATCGAGATACTTGTCAACGCTGATCCGCGATGTTGATGTCGTGTCAGGCGTGTGCCAGAGATAACAAATCAATTTACAATTCGTTTTTAATTTTCTTTCGCTACCATTCTCTTGAGGGAGAAGGGGAGTTGGGGCAATTTGATGCAACAGGGTGCAATGAAACACCAATAGTATCTCGATATCCATAAACAATTTAAAAGTTCAAAACATGATCATAGGATAGTATATAAGCGCATAATCTTGTGGTCATATTTTGAACTTTTAATTGTTTATGGATATCGACATATTATTGGTGGTTTGTTGTACCCTGTTGCATCAAAGTGCCCCAACTCCAGTGCTCTCACCAAAAGAATATTTCAAATGGGTACTGCCAAAAGTAGCAGATAAACCATGCGGTGTACTGATCGTTTACGGTGATCAATGTAAAATCTCGTAGTGATTCATTTTATAATAATTTCGTATTTTCTCAAAATGAAAAATTTCGCGATTGAAACATTGTTACTCTTCGGATACGTACCTTTTTGTCGCTGCCTCCTAAAAAGCTGCACAAGTAGTATACACTCTGGTGGTGTCTTCTTTTCTCCTGAAACCCTTTCGTCCAGTTTTCCGCAGTCGACGACGACGACGACGTCTGCGCGCCGATCATTCGCGATATCACGTTTCCTTCTCCAATAATAAATTAATGTCTCGGGTAAGCGTCTTGTAATTGATGCCCGCGCGGGGATGAAATCGACGTTGATTTATCGAAGAAAGAATCGCCTGCCGCAAAAGAGAAAACCCCCCCTCCGACGATTTATTGACTTTTCGGGCCGACACTGTGTGCCCCCGGGAACCAGCTACGATTTCTTCGTTGAAAAATCGAATCACGACTCCGACGAAATCATTCGACCGTCTCGTTCCACCTCGTCCGACGTTCATTTATCGCCTTATAATTTCGAATTTAGCCGCGATATATCGCTTTAAATAGAACAGTAAAAATAGCTACTAATATAAGCTACCAAAGTTGCATTTAATGAGTAACCACGGCATCCAGTGACCGAGTCCTCTCTGTTGATTTTTGTCGAAATGCCATCTCGAAATCATCAGCCACACCACGTTCCTCTAATCTACTTGTGATTTGTAATTAACATCACTCGTGTAAACATGGACGTTAATTGTTCATTGTATCAATTTTCGATGGTTCAAGTCGTGTGACATGAAGTCCTTTTGTTTTAATTTTTTATTAACCTGTTTTATTAATTTTCCACGGTTGATGTCCGGTTTCGAGTCGATTGTTGCATTTGACGCCAAGTCTAAGATACCCCACACACTTCACAATTCCATCGTATATCGCGAGTTCTTCGAAATATTTTTCCTTTGTCTTTCGAAGGGAGCTCTGTCCACCAAGATTTGTTTTTTTTCCGACGAGAAATAGTGCATCTACATTTTGAGACAGAATGGAAAGCTGGCGCGTATCACCCTGGGGGCTAACTGCTCCGTGACTAAAGAGAGGAGAGCGAATCGTAGGAACGCGGGGTCCACGCAGCACGTGGACGCTCTTGGGCTGGGACGGTTTCGCTCGAAGTCGCGATTATCGCTCCCGTCAAGGAAGTTGCAGTGATACCGACGTCCTGCTTAATCATAGGCCAGACTCCAGTGAAATCCAGTGGCCGTGATCGTAACTAAAATAAACGGCGTATGGAAAAACGGATGATAACGGCGGTCGAGAGAGATTCGAATGACAACCGACAATAGAATTTGGTCCCCTTGGCGACTCGGCTCGATTTGTATCGGATGTCTGCTTTGGCAGAGGTAGCAAACTTTGCACGGGGAATCTACGAATTTCCTTTGTTCTGACAATATACATCCACAATAGGATACTATAGGACATTCTTTTAACTGCCTGAAGGAAAAAAGGAGGGGAGATAATGGTAGCCAGAAGTAATGAATTCGAACTCGGTCGTGGCGTGGGATGTTCTGTGTGTACAGGGTGTCTCGCTTCGACAGGAAGTTGACTTTCTTCTCTTTTTTCTCACAAAGCATGTGATTCTGTTAAGATCGTTGGAGATTCTTTGGTTACTTAGTCTATTGGAACTGAAATATTAAGATTAATCCTTATCCCGTCCCTCATTTCCAAACTCAATTTGTCCCTTGGTGTCAATTTGACATAGTGGTAAAAAATTAATATAATGAACTGATGAATAGATATATTTGCAAATTTTTGTAAATAAAAGTCTTGAAGACTAAATTTTACCTACACATGACAGAATAACGTCATTTCTTCTAGGAGACAAATGTGTCTGATTGACACAATGATTATTATTGAAACAACAAGTATGATGGACTGTGGAGATTGTGTGTGTGGATAATCCGTCTTCTTTTTTCTAGAAATGGTTCAACTACGAGGTAGACTCGGACGACGAGTGGGATGAGGAAGAGCCAGGAGAATCACTGCATGGTTCCGACGATGAAAAGGACGAGGAAACCACGGAGGACAATGAGTACGACGTGGACAATGAGTTCATGGTACCTCACGGGTAAGCGTCGTAAAGAATATTGAATTTAACACATTTATATCCCCGAATTTTCATTAATGTATGGACGATTGTTTTAGGTACTTATCCGACGAGGAACTTCGTGCCGACGAAGAGGATAAGGAGGACATGGTAAGTGCTTCTGCGTAAAATGTTTCTACTGAAGATTATTTAAATGTATGTATTTTTATAGTCTCCGGAAACGCAGAAATACAAGTTGAAGGTATTAGGAGAACAATTCGAGTCGGACAGGAGCACGAAGACCTCGAGGCTCAAACCGAAAATAATTGGTTGCGTTTGGAGGGGCCTTGAAAATACGTTCTCGGAAAATGGTGAGCGTTCAATCTACGAGTGTGGGAACTGGGGAAATATATTAAATAAGAAACAGTAATTGTCTAATAAGTGTCGATCCTATAAAAACACTAAAAAATCTTAGTTGTCAGTGGGAGAATGCATGAATCTTTCGACACACAAAGGATAGGAAATTTTGTCTGATTTCAGTGCCTGAGAGGATAGTGGATTTCTTGTCGGATCGCGAGGCCTGGGTGCGTCAGATACCAGTGGCTCTGTCGACCACGTTCGAGATTGACCCGGGGACCGAGGGCGGTACGCCCACGCCGCAGAGTCTCGCGAAATCATCGAAGATGTCCCAACTTCCGGCAGGGGCTCTTCCCGAGCTGATCCGTCTTTTACATGGGAACTTGCAGAGCAGAAAGTTCCTGGTCAGAGAATTCTCGGCGTACTGGAACAAGAAGAACAAGAACGACGAGAACGTAATCTCGAAGTCCAGTCTGCTTCGAAAAATACGCGAGATAGGGAAGTGGATGGCGTGTCCCGAAGAGGGTCCTATGCACTTGAAATATTGTTGGTATGTCCCTAAAAAGATACGAATGGAATACCTGGACGAGGATATTTCGTTACCCAATCAGTGGTCCTACAACCTTGTACCGAAAGGGAAACGAGATGTAGGGGAGGCCACTGAGAAATTGGATGAGGAGAAAGACAAGAAAACCGTGCCATTAATTACTAATTTTACGAAGAAGATCACCCAGGAGGAGATGAAGAAACAGTTGACTGTTAAATCGAGTCCAGCCACCCCCAAGAGTAAGCCCGCGAAGACTCCAAAGAGAGCAACTCTGATCTCAGTCGGTAGAGGGGAACAGTTTTCTAAGGTGTCGAAAAAGAATTTGTTAAAGAATTCTATCAGTGGCGATAAAACGGCGAGTAAAGATGCAGAGATTAAGAACGACGATGACGACATTGTTGTAATTGAAAGTTCTTCCGACAGCGATCAGCCTGAAATTCAGACGGTGACTGAAGAAGAATTTGATAAAGCGGAAAATAGACTGGTTATTCCTGTGGATTGTGAAAACGAAGACGACGCAAAGTCATTCACGAAGGTAAAGAGAAATAAGAGTGATGGAAAGACAATAAATAACAAACAGAAAGAGAATATTAAAGAAACTGTTATTATTTCCATGGACGTTGACAGTGACGACTAGGAAGGGGAAAAGTAAATTGTAAAAAGAATCGTGGGACGAACAAAAGATAGAAGAAAATTTTGTACAAGGAAAATGAAAAAAAATTGTGATAAATAATTAATGATAGGAGAGAGTGAGGCAGTATGCCGGAATAAGATTGTGGATGATTTCCATACTTTTATTATTATTTAAATACAGATCGCATGTGTACAAAGTCCTGAATTGTTTTGTTTTTGTAAAATTCGTCTGTAATCTGCCTATATATGATTGTTATGATTACTATTGTCCGAAAGTAATTATTCCCAAGATTTCAAGCTAAACAGTGTAGGTATACACGCCAGTTTGAATGATTTGGGCCGTTTGTCGCAAGTTTTGGGGGCTGACTTGGTAAGAATGAAAGGTGTATGATGTACATTTTGGCCTTAACCTAGCCTCACAAGTTTCGTGTGACTATTAAAATTAAGCAGTAATTACCGTATTAGACAGTATAGAACGATATTGTTAATAAGTGGTACAGTTATCCGTATCTTTGTAACCTATATTATACATATAATTCCATACATTTGATATTCAGTAGAGTTAAGAATCGTTAAACGTAATTTTCGATAGCTCTATGTTATTTATGTGCCAACGTGTTCACAGCTTAGTTTTCTACGTTGCTCAAAATAATTCAGAGATCACATTTGCGAAGCAAAATAACCACCGTATATTTAATATTAATGTATTTTTATTTACTGTTTGACAGTAAATTAAATACCTGATTTTTTGAAGTATTTGAGTATATGATCTTCTAATTATTTTGCCCAATATGTGTTTCAGGAATTGGCTTGTGAGTTTAGAACATGTCGCTGAAAACCCTAGCGATACTTCAGATTAAACTGTCTTTAAATTATTTAATCGAACGATCGTAAAATTTATTCGTTAAAAATCTGGCCATGTTTGACTAAACTTTTGGAATCGGATGCGTCTATTTAATTGACTTTTTTTTTGTCAACGAACTTTAAACAGTTCCAAATATGGATCACATTCCGTTTTGTTTGGAACAAAGAAAGTGGTTGGTGCTTAGAAGATTTGAAGGGAGAAGGATATAAATAGCAGTTAGATAATTTAAAAAATTGCATTACTCTGTTTCTTTTGGCAGGAAAAGTTAATAAATTTATTCTGTTCAACGGCTGAACATATGATAAATAAATCGATTAAATTTCATGAGAGCTTTATAAACGTTAATTAAAGAATCGTAATTAATAATCTCGACAGAGTTCAATGTCGTAAATTACAATGTATGTGATATGTGTGTTGTCATAAGTTCGATTGGAAAACGTAATGCGCGATGAAAAGCAAGCGTGTAAAATTTATGAAACGTTATCACATGCGAATACTTATACTTTTATAATAAAAATTAGTAAATAAATCGGAGAACATCTATATACCGAACAGTTGCGTCGTTTTGTAAAGATAACGTTTCCATGTTTTTTCCTTAAAGTCTTTCCTTTTCATTTTTGTTCTTCATTCATTGTTTCACCTTGTCCAATTACGTACCTATACATATATCTGTGATCGACATCCTGACCTTTAAACAGTTAATGAGGTTAAATAATTATTTTCGAAGTGTCCACTCATTCAAGAGGTAATATTATTATAAAAATTGGAATTTCCACGGTTTAATTGATGAACAATATCAAAATACTGTTTCTCATCTTTTATTCGTTACGTGTATCCGGGTAATGAATTTGCCGATGTTGTTCATTTGTTCTCTTGAAGACTACCGGCCCGATGGAGAATCGTCCAAGTGTTTTCAGGTTGCGAATTCATTTCCAGCGAGGTCGAGTCACCACCTCGGGGGTTGAAACTTAATTTCTCTGCGTTTTCGAGCCGCGTGGCGCCAGATCCCGTAACGTGATTCGATAATTGGCCGTAATCTGGCCGAGCGGCCTTTCCTTATTCCGGGCCATATGCCGTCCGGGGTCCGAAGTTACACCCCGAAGCTACGTCCCGAACTACCGACTGTAAAACTTCCTACTGGACGTTCCACCTTTCCTTTTTTTTTTTCTTCTTTTCGTTGCCGGAGATTGGAAGCTTCAGAAAACAACACCGCGGGATTCGTCAGCGGATTTCGTTCCGTCATCTCTTTCTTTTTTTCTTGTTCTCCCTCGAGAATCATTCTTCTGCCTGTCTATTTGCAGACGGACGTTTCAATATCGTGATTTTCGACTAATTTACTTCGGTCTATCAACATTTTGTACCGCGAAAATTGTCCTGCGATCTTCTTTTGGAAATGTAACTTGAGAAACTGAGACGTATCTTGGATTAATTGTATAGTAACTGTAAAAGTGCGGATCCTCAGGTGTGCCTATCGTTGCGGTTTTGACCAACTGAGCCCACGGTATCCTCAGGATCAACGTTCGGACGAAAGTAAAAATTTCGAATTCAAGCGATAGTCGTTGGGATTGAAACGGTAAACCAAGTAGAAATGAACAGTCATCGTCAGACACGTTACATGGGTATGTGTCCTCGTACATTGGGTGTCATATAACTGGTGGTACAACTCGCTAGGGAGTGATTCCACGTGAACAAAATAAGTCGAAAATATGCAATAAAATTGTTTCATTTAAGATCTTGTTCTCGAGAAAATCGACTTTGAAAATCTACGGGATACGCGTGCAATTGAACAAGACTTGCCTGGCGTGTTTGTTCATTGCATTCCGTTTCTACTTACCATGCGAATACACGAGTTTCAGATTCGATTTTCTCGACAACGAAATCTCAAATGACAAAATTGTATTACACATTTTTGACATATTATTTTTCGTAGAATTACCCCCTATTCGGTTGTACCACCAGTTACATAACACCCTGTATGATCATATAAAACATTGTTTTCTTGTCTAAAATCTCTATTATTCAATATTTCACAAGCAGCCTATTACGTATCCCCGTCTTTCGGCTTATTATTGAGAAACCATCGTTAAAACGTTTGATCGACCCCCAAATACTACTCAACCAATGATTCTCTCCGTGAACCACCAGGACGAACGGTTCGGTTCCTTCGAAGCAACACACCGCGAAGTGGTTCCGTCGAAATGTCGCGGCGGCGGTGGCGGTGGCTCGCGTCAGCCAATGAGAAGTCCGCGGCTCACGGACCGGACTCGGACCTCCCGAGGTCGTGTCTTTGGATATTAATGAGAAGATAGAGAGGCGGCCACCTCACACCAGCGGTCCGGATCACGGCGTTCAGAGACTCACGGATCTTCTCCGATGGAGAGAGAGAGAGATTATACCGTGGCGGTCCTCCTTTCCACCCAGCCTCCGTCCTCCCCCTGTGTGTCGGCTGAGAGGAGCATCGCGAGACGAGAAGGAAGGACGGTACGGGGAAGGAAGAGGGAGACCAGAGAGAGGGTCTCCACCCCAGGACCACACGATGGAGGGAGGACGTCGTCGGGTCACGAGAAGCCCGACGTAGGGAAGGACAGAGAGACGGCGGAACGGCCAGGCGGTGGCGGCGACGGCGGCGGTGGGACGAAGAGGATTCCTACTAGCGTGGAAAGAGCGAAACGGACGCGGAGCGATCTCTCTGGGACCGTTGTCGAGGGGCAGGGAAGAAAGAGGAGGAGGAGGAGGAAAGAGGAGACACGGCGGAGGACGAGAGAGGACCAAGAGGAAACGGAGGTCGAGAGCAGCACTGGGAGGGGGTGGACGAGAAGCGTGAGCGAGACGGGAACGGCCGCGGAGAGAGATCTGGAGCCCCACGTAGGAGACGTTCAATACTGTAGCAACGACGCCGAGCCAACGCCATTGGCTACCATTTTCTCTCTATACCTTCTAGGCATACACCTTGTACTCTATTCCGGTCTACTCCACTTTATTCCTTGTACTCCCTCTTCCTCCCCTTCGTTCCTCCGTTGCCGGCATTTCTGTACCTCTCTCTCTTACTCGGCCCCCTTCTTTCCTCTCGGTACTCCGCCTGGTCGTCGATCCATCGAGATCGCGGACCGGGAGCACCCGGACAAACGCGCTGGGGGTTTCTCCGCCGTGCCATGCCCTGCCGACCAGTACCATTGCATTTCGTGACGATCCAATGGAACGTGTGTGTATGTGTGTGTGTCTTTCTGTTTCTCTAGCTGGAGGCTCGGTTTGAAAGTAGATGAAGCATTTGGAGGATCGAGGATCAAGATTATTTCTTTCAGCAGGGCTAAGAAACTTCGTTTTTGCGTGTATACTCGAACGGAATTGCAGTGTCTGGGACCATTAATGCAACCATTCATTTTGTTCCCTTTAACCTTTAGGCTGTCGGGAGTCTATACTTTTTATGACATTGATAAAACTCGAAATTCAGCGCAGTGGATATGTCATATAGTATACACTGCGAGCCAAAAGAATGGGACCAGTGTTTATGATTTATGGAACAGTAACTTATTATTCTGTTACGATACAACAAAAGTTAAGGATTAGTTAAGGCTCTTTCCCATGGAGGTCCTTAATTCTAAGAAAAAAATTTCTAAACAAAATAATCATAAAAGTTAAGGAATAGTTAAGGCTCTTTCCCACGGAGGTCCTTAATTCTAAGAAAAAAATTTCTAAACAAAATAATCGTTCAAATAATCGAGATTTCGTGACAAACGTTCGGGGGTGGAGGCGGTGTTTCATGCGTGGGCGATACGTCAGCGTGGGAAGGGGGAGATTGAAATTTCGCCGAAGGATAAAAAATTATGAAAATCTACGGGACGAAGGCGCGTGTACATATATACACACCTGCCGCCCCCTTGTGCCGAGTTTTCCGTTTGGCCGAACGGTGGGATCGGGCCGACCGGCGAACAGATTAAGCTTTAGGAAGGAGATTTATGGGCGAGCGTGTAACGAGCAACTTTTTCATGGGATGCGCGCGCCCAGGGTTAGCCTTCGGGGGTGGGATTAGCATAAGATCCAGCAGCTGCAGACCGCCGCGTGAATTCCACGCCGAGCTTCTCCTCCCTTATATCTCAAAAAAGCCGCCCTCCGAAAGAACACGGTGTCCATGGCGCGGCACGTGTCCCCGTTTGCTCTAAACGTTTACGTAGTCACTTCCCGAATACAGAGGTCGAGGAATT